AACTGCAAGCTCGAGTATATTCTGAAATATCTTTAAAAAATATATTCAAAATCCTGCTGCGTAATCCAAATTTAATTAAAACAAAACATCGATTCATAAACATCTATCATTATGAGCAGAAAACATAAATGGAAGAAGCTGTAAAAAGCAAGCACAGAATTTGTGCTTTTCCTTTCCACTTTAGAACCAAAACAAAGCTGAAGACAATGAGGGAATTTCGAAACCATTGAGGACTTATAAACAATGAATTGCAGGACGGAAGATAAGAAAGAAGAACGAATTTCGCGTTCAAATTATTTTATTTTTACATCTACTTATGTTGGTAGAAACGAGGGCACTAGCCCCTTCCATCTACTTATGTTGGTAGATACGAGGACACTAGCCCCTTTCATCTACTTACGTTGGTAGATACGAGGGTACCAGCCCCTTTCAAAAAGGCAAAAAAACTGAACAACAATTTCTTGACGTCGTTCAATTGCCATATTTCTGGAACGTAATTTCCTGGCAGCGTGACCGCAGGGCCCTTATTTCCCGTACACCCTTATTTCCCCTCTTCCTCATACCCCTCTCCTCCTCACCCTCATACCCCTCTCCCCTTTGTTCTATTTATTGATCCACTGCGAAGGGAGTGCATAGAGGAGAGTTAGGATGTAAAGGGGAGAGATGGAAGAGCCAGGATTTAGAACGGGATTTTGATTATCGAAGTTTGTGAATCGCTTGTGATCAGTAACGAGATGTGGCATGGATGTGTATAATCAAACGACAGGTTACAAATGGCATGGATGTATGGATGTGGATAGCCAAGCAGCTGTTTGCAGATGGCTTAGATGTATATAGTCAGGTAACTGGTTCAGGTGGCACGGATGTATATAAGCAAGCAGCTGTTAGCAGGTGGCATGGATGTATATAAGCAAGCAGCTGTTAGCAGGTGGCATGGATGTATATAAGCAAGCAGCTGTTAGCAGGTAGCATGGATGTATATAAGCAAGACGCTGTTAGGAGGTAGCACGGATGTATATAAGCAAGACGCTGTTAGGAGGTAGCACGGATGTATATAAGCAAGACGCTGTTAGGAGGTAGCATGGATGTATAAGGCTCGCTAATTTGCCACTCTGTTGCTAGTTTCTCCGGTGTCGCAGCAGCACAACAACTGCAGCCGACTTAACGCCCCCAGGCACTTGTTCTGTTCAAGTGTTTTCTCTCCACAAACAAATGGCCACATAGCCCTTCACCTCTAACTATGCCTCCCCCTCTCCCACCCTATATCCCCTTTCGCTCCTCGTCTTGCCCCCATCACATCCATGCCGCTCTTTACGTCACCCCCTTCTTACCTCCCATAGGTTTTGCCTCCCCCTCCCCTCCTGGTGAGTTGTTCCCCCTCCCCCCCTCCACCAACCTTTAGATGGAGGCAAGAGGGTTGTTCTGCTTGCGCGAGTGCCACATCAACCCAACATTACTCCTTCTTCTCACTAATGACAATAAAAAAAGAGATTTAAAATCAATAATTTTAACGTTACAAAGTATTTCAATGCAAATTTAATCATACTGGACATTATCAACTAAATTTAAAGCGTCTTCGTGGAGAAATACTGAGTTATTTGTCACACAGATATGAAAGGTGGCACTCCGCACTAGAAACTTGGCACAATATTTGAACTTCGTGGAAATGATTTGACTCGCACCGCTTTGGAGATGTGGCACATGCGCAATTGGCGTGCTAGCTTTGAAGGGAGCATGTGGCACATTGCGGCACGTTTTTATTCACACGGAATTTCGTCACATTTTACGAGCGGTTCCCTGGAGATCTGGCAACGTGTCCAACACAAAGCACAGAATAAACTTTGATCTTGTCGCGTCTCATCCAGGTGGCAGCGGCCAGCTGCAGCAGCATGACTCGTTCGTAGCGTGACCCACCATACTTCACTAACGACGAATAACAAAGAAAACGAATTCAAAAAAGAAATGAACCTGTTCCTCAACCTTCGCGGCGGGAGAATTCTCGGTGCTACTGAACTACTTCCGCCTCACCTTTCTTCGAGTCATTTTACGCTCCATAATCAGGCTTCTTGTCTGATGACTTTCGATTGATTAAAGGAATCGTGGAAGACCAAAATGAACACGTTTACATTCCGTCTAAAACTGCGAAGGAAAAATTTTTTGCTTGTTTGGCATAAGCTGTCATTTTCGTGATGAACGTTGCTTGAAAAGTTTTAACTGATTTAAGAACAAAATCAATTTATTTATTTTCGAGTTGACGTAATGTAATAGTATTAAATCTTATAATATCCGTTTAAAAATTACTTTAAAGACAACACTTCTGAAGAATCCAGTATCTCCAATGTTAAAGATATACAATGAATTTCTCATTTTATTTTTCGAATATTAAAAAAAATTAATTTTTCAATTTTTTTCATATATACAAATTTTTTTTCTCTTATTTATTTATTCCTTCAATTGATTCAAGCATTGCCTCCGACTTCACACAAGTGTGAAAAATTTCAGATCAATTGGACAGGTAAAAGTGTGTCAAATATCAGTTATAAGATTTGTAGGTGACAAAATTATTTTTTCAATTTTTTTAATATTAAAAAAAAATTATTTTTAAAATAATTTATTTTGTCATTTGATTCATGCATTGTCTCCAACTTTACGCAAGTGTGCAAAATTTAAGATCGATAGGATAAGTAGAAGTGTGTTAAATTTCGATTATAAAATTTGTATATTATAATATTTGAAGTGTTGTAATAAATAGTCAAATTATAATTTTCCGCACCAGAATTGAATTTGTCTTTTTGTCTTGAGAAATAAATAATCTTGGCGCAAGCAACAGAAATGATTTTGCTTCAATATCATCAAGAAGCAATTATTTCGCAGGACTATTTTCGAACGCAAGTATTCAGGCTACCTAACATTGCAGAAAAAAAAACATTTCACATCCCTATCTTCTAAAGGAAATAACGTAGCGTCACAGCTTCGAAAATTACGCATGTTAACATGCTATATATAGTGACATGAATAATGACAAGCAATAATGACATGACACTAAAGCAAAATTTCCAAGCCTTCTCATTCAGTACACGTCAATGGATCTTTAGTAAATATTCAGTGAACTGTAAAGTGATATTTAGAACAAACTGGGTATACTGCCATACATCTTTCTATTCATATAACTTTGGTATTTAAGAAGCTAATCATACACATCAATTTCAGTTAATCTTTATTTTTATTAAAAGCAGTAGGACTTCATGATGTTAAAGCGGAGTTTTTTCTACGATTTAGAGACGAAGGCAGCGTATGAATCTGGCCTTATTTAACGTATTCGATTTCTACGGTTTGGGCTGAAGTTGATAAGTAAACTTACTGTATTAGCTTCTTGTAGAATCGAATACTGACATCAACACGCACCAAAATCTCTATATATATATAGTCTATAAGAAACTATAGTGATTTTGAAAGAACTCCATGTCAACCATTCAAGTCTATCCTGAATCTCCAATTTTTCATCAGATATTTTTCTCATGTAAGTTGTTCATTATTATTGAACTTAATATTTCTTGATTGAATGTTCATTGACTGAATATTCTTTACCTGAATGTTCACATGCTGATATTATGCTTAAGGCAACTGCGTCCGCATTGCAACGCAGCGTTGTGTGAGGCTCAAGATTACTAAGAAATTTGCAAAAATTATTTAATTATGATAGGCATAATATGTAGTCTTTTATCTGTTCATTGTCATTTTAATATATATCAATTCAAGCCTTGGAGTGGAAAAACTATCACTATTTGACCTAGCAATCCAGCTTATTAAAACAGGTCAGATTTTTACTTCATTAAGACTGCAGTTTCAAATACCTGCTTTCTGTATCATTTTTTTCACTGAAAATGAAATTTTGATGAAAAAACTTGTACAAACATGATCAATTTCTACAAAAGAACAAAACTTTTGGCCAATTATGATTGGACTTTCCGTCATCATATCCTATGTAAATTCCAGCATCTTTCCTACCAGTTTTGCTTTTATTTCCCTTGCCTTCAGTTGACTTTGTCTATTGTTTCACGTGACTTTGGCTTATCCTGCTCGTCTGGGCTCCCGGTGTGATGGTGATCCCTTATTTATATTCAACTCTTTTCTATTTATAGCGCTGGAGTGTGAAGGACTTCTGTAAGAGTAAATAGCGTCGAACGAGTTTGTATGGAAATTAATATCAATTTCATAGAAAAAATTCAGGAAATTTAGTTCTAAGTAACTTCATGTACTTTATCTCTTTTGAAATCGCTTGAATATCTATTTTCTGCCCTAGCCATATAGTTACCTTAATATACCATATAATTACCTGGCCTTAAAAATCACTTCACTTTAATACAAATCTGCTATAATTTCTTCGCCTTCGTTTTTCTGCATTAACACTTTTATGATCCTTTGCCAAGCGCTCTAAATTTTAAATTTTTGTTGAACGTGGGCGATTTTTTTTTTTTTTTTTTGGTGGAATGGCCGTTCATTTCCAGGCAAGTTTTCCGTCTTTTTTTGTGCAGCCGTGCAAACTTTTATACTTTTAGTGCCGTTGGTATTATTGGATGAACCAAACACGCGGTTAATATTATTGGATGAACTAAAAACGAATACAGGACTTAGCCATGAAAATAATTCAAAACTCGATAACAACTAGTCGAAATAGACCTTGTAGCCGCTAATTTATTCATGCCCATCGTACAATTAAGAATTATTATTCCTTTGTTGATGCATGTTAATCACGTGAAAAAAGTGAGAGATAATATAATACCAATAATCCTCTATAGAATACGAAGGAACCCTTGACAATGAAGAATTAGAATTAGTCACACAGTAAAAACGAGTGTTCGAGACTCAAGTCACGTTGCGATAGATTTTTTACTCAATAATATTTATGTCGTACTGGGCGTCTAAAATCTTACCAGGATAAGGCTTTGGCATCAGCGAACGTTTATAGGGACCAGACGTAGGTTAAGTAGACAACAAAAATTTAATTATTGTGTATTTTATCCATACATTCCAAACTATTATTAACATTAACATTTGCCACTTAATTAGAACATCAATAACATTCGGTCATTGAAACCAGCGATCGATGACCTCTGGATCGGAACATGAATGATTATGATAACATCAGATTAAAATAATGATATGATAACCACATTAGTAACTTAATCATGAGCTAATACGTCTTTTTAACTCACATCTTTGGAACTATGTCTGATTCTGATAGCCAGCGTCGTAGGTCGATATAACTTAAATTGTATTTATGCTCGATAATGAGAACATCATCGAGAGATGAACTTTTAGCAGGTGTTTCACTCATGGTAACTTTGTACAGAGAAACCGTGTTAATTCATCTCTCGTGTCATTTGGGAAGAATACAATTCAAGAGCTAAACTAAAGCCTCTGTAATCAAAATTAACGTGGGAGAAATAATGATTTTATTAATATAAGCATTCCGGGAGAAATATATACAAACGTTCCGCCGGAGACACACAGATTTCGTGGATTGATAGACCCAGCGAAAAACAATTTTACTTGCTATGTAAGCCCTTGACGGATGTCTGCACCTTTGCACGTATAAAAATATTCTCATCCAACATTAATGGTCCTGTTAGATTTATTTCACTCAGCGTTAAACAAATCTTGTTTCACTCTTCACTTCTTGGTCATCTGATGAAAATCTCTGTACATCAGAGGAGGCTGAGGTACACGCAACAGATGGATCGGGCGGCAGGTGTTTTAGTTTTTCTGTAGTAATGAGACTCTGGAATGTTTCTTGTAGAACTGCTGCGCTCCTAGCAGGTAGCGTTCTCAGTTGGCCAGCAACATGTTGACCGAAAAGATCGTACTCGTCCAATACTTTTTTTGAAGACGACGGTCTTTCCGAAACAATTTTTTGTAACTTCTCAATTGCACTTTCAACTCTGGAATATTTTGAAATGCGTCTTTTCTTCGCAATTGGCGATGCAATTGGTTTCTCAGGCTCCGACGTATCTGTTGCTGTGACTGTACTAACAAAGACTCCAATGTTAACATCATCCGAGTATTGAGTATCTTGTTCTTCACCACTTTCATTGGAGATATCATTTACTTCCTGTTTTATTACAACTTCTTCTTTTTCTTTTTCTTCGTCAGTGCGAGATTCCTGAAACAATGAAAACGAGAAATTTAATAATTATTTTCAAATGTTAAAATCATACTTCTCGTTTTACACAAATACAGAATAGATTTTAAATCGAAGAAAATTTTCTAAGTTATTGCGGCGAATCAAAGAAAAATACAACAATTAAACGTTCGCTTGTAAATTGAGCGAGTCTGCAAAGCCACAAGTTGATTTCTGCATAATATTTTTGTCGTTGACTGAAACCAATTGAAGGTTCATTTATGTTGCGCAATTTGCAACATAAAGTGAATTTTTTACCTTCCTCAAGAAATAGGCTGGTGCAAACCTAAGCCATTACCAAATAGGGTTTTCGAATCCTGTTCGCGAACGAAAATAATTCGTCCATTGCTCAGAACAGTTCTTGAGAGAACAGCCGTCGTTGAGTTGATAAATTATTGTCTCCAGACTAGGACAATTACTTTAGTAATCCTAGTAAAAAGTCTTGATAGCATGACATCAGACTAGATATTCGTCGCATGTCTGAGACAAATTATTCACGTTTCGCTCGATCAGGCAGTTTGAAAAGCCTTTATTTTTTCCCGCACGTTTATTTAGAGTTTAAACGTTTGGTAACGCTGGTAGGTATCATGGTTGAACTAGTATAGTTCAGCCATGGGTAAGCATTGCTTGGCTGGTGTAAATAAAACCTTCGTAACGCTTTGACTCACCGATTTTGGCTGCGACTCCGGAATTACCACAACGCTGTTCAAGAACTGGTCGGCAGTTTTGAACCAAGGGAGCCTCGGCGTGTAGACATCATCAGGAGCAGCTCCGTCTGCTTTAGACGAGATTATCTTAAGAACTTCACACCTGTACGTTGCTTTAATAGCCTTTATTCTTGCCCTCAAAAATGCAATGTCTGGCACCAGTAAACCCTGCCATAGGAGGTCGTCTCTCAGCTTTAACATACAACTTTCACGTTTTGCTTTGTTGGAGTAATGTTCGTGACGTATATTCCAAAGTAGTTCATAGTTTTGGAATATTTCTAAAAATACTCTAATATTATTTGGTCCCCACTTAATGTTTTTCTTGATATTGGCTTCATTCGAGTAAGACATGTCTATTCCCGACACAACAGCACCGCTAAAATCAAATGTTACATCCACAAAAACAACAGCTCTACACCACGCACCTCGGCTGGTATGACCGTACTGGCGGCAACTGCGCTCGGGAGCCGTCCAATAGTGGCCGCCAGTTGCCATGTGACCAGCTTGTGGCGGCTCACCGGTCACTAACTCAGCCATGTCAGCCGTTACTGGCTGCCAATAGAAGTTGTGTGTGGCGGCCACCAATCATGTTAGTCGCCACAGGCCACGTGTTCAACAAGCTAATATCTCGTGTAGATAGAACCCGTCTGTCGAATTTTTGCTCATTTACTCTTCAGATCGCATGATCTGCTAGTTGTAAATGGCTCAGGACTGCCTAAATAGATTCGTTGAAAGATCTAAACATTGAATATATGTGAGTACAGTTATGCTGCAAAATTGACAACGCGACCAGAGAGCCAACAGCAAGTATTCAACATTCATTAAAAAGAAAATATATCTTATGATTAAATTAGTGATCAAACATTAAAAATGAGCGCCACGAGCACACGTCCTTAAGAAATAATTACATGTTAATTAAATAAAAAATGTCTACTGAAAATTTGGAACTTACCTTCACTCAAGAACAATTCTCTTCACAAATAAGTTAGGTTAATGAACTGCCCACGTTAGGAATTATTCGTATCAAAGCTTCCCTGAAATCATCGTTGACATTTCATCATACAAAACTCGAAGAAATTCAACACTCGCAATCTTCACGACTGAGTCTGAAATGAACTATGTTGAACTCAGTACCACTTATATTCATATTCATATCTAGTTATTCAGCACTTATCTCATTCTTATTAACATGTTACACAACTTATGAAAGAGATGTCAGTCCCAGCATCCCATGTTTATGCATCACGATGTATAATTAATACACAGCCAACTATACATGAATTAATACACAGCAAACTATACATGTCCCACTTGCCACTTGTATAACTCGAACGTTGCAGAGAAGAATAGTCAGGTTGTTAACTAACAAGTGACGCGCAACCTACTTCCAAGTACATCACTAAATAATCTAACTGATGTTTAGATGGCAATATAGTTGCTGCAGTAATATTAATATTTAATGTCAATTGTGTTGAACAACAACCACGGAACCTGAGCTGTGATGTCGTCACTGAAATAATAAATAAATGCGCTTATAATGCGTCGGGAGCGCGCATGCTGCAGCATTGTATGCCGATGTAGCATTATCTGCAAATAAGATCTGATGTAAAGTGATGTGAAGTGCACTGCTCCCGACCCCTGAAGTGATGTGAAGTGCAACGTATAGTATAAATTCCAATTTTTATGATAAACATCAATAACAGGAAGCAAACATCCATTATAGAAAATTGGCGTCTAATAAATCCCCTTCATCCGATAAATGATTTTCATCTAATTAATACCCGACACATGATTTACAGAACAAACATTCAATACACATAATTTACTTTCAAACTGTGATAAAAGTTTTATTGCAAATAAACTTTCCCAATAAACGTCTAACATGCGATAAATATCTAGCATGGAATGAGCTTTTAGATAAAATAAACTTCAGCGATACGAGGTCAACATCCAACATAAAATTTCAACGTGAAATAAATGTCTTGAAACTATTATTATCATTCCATTCAAAATTTACGTTCAACATGAGATCAACGTCTATGAAACGAGGTTAACGTTCAATGTACATTAATATAATAAATATAACAACATATACATTAATATAACTTAAAATTGACGCTCAACTTGAGATGAACGCGTATAATAGGAGAGAATTACGCACATCAAATTAACGTCTAACATTAGATAAGCGTCTAATACATGAGATAAATTAGGGACGTCTTGATGTACTAAGACGCTCATGACACGTCAGCCCTGCCAGCGGCTGCGTCTTTTGAGCCACGATGCCGTTAGGAAGTTACATAATTTCCTCAGCTATGTATAAAGTTCGGCCAGTTCAATAATTTAGACTCAATGTTGATGCATATTCAGCAGCTGACATGCAGTCCGATAATCCTTTGTTGATAACCTGATGTTTTTTAATGATCTCTTTCCTTTGGTGTGCTTTCTTCGATGAGGAAGATGAGGAGGATAACTCAATAGAATTCGACATTCAGACCTTAATTAGATGTAGAAATAACCCAGCGTGGCCTTTTGATATTGATGGTGTGGGGGAGGGGCAGTGATGTTAAGTGCGTCTTTTTGTGCCACATCTCATGCCCCACGGTCTGGTCGGTGGCGACTTGGCAACGCTGCACAGAGAGAAGCAGCGACGCTTGGCACATTCTGAACCAGGGGGAAGCCGCAAGACTTGGCACGCAGCGCACCAAGCGAAGCTGGGAGACTTGGCACATTGCAACATAGAGACGTGGCACACAGAAACGTGGCAACGTTGCTCTCTCATTATTGCTCAATGCGCGCTGACACAGAGGACGTAATGTGGCACATTCGCCCTTGCAGCTGCACCTCCCTTAATGCTCTACGTCCATGATAACTATTTCAATATGTTTAAACTATTATTAATATCATACTATCAAGTTTTTCTTCCTGTTTGTGACAAAGAAAAATTATATCATATATTAGTTAGTTCATAATAAGGATTCCTGTGTTGGTTGACGTGGCACATGCGCCGTGCCACATCTCCATGGCTTCCCTGGTCTCTAAGGACGGAATTCGCTCGTCGCTCACCAATCACCTCCCACAAAAACAGGGCCTCAAAAAAATATTCAAGACAGAAAGAGTTAAAAGTTACGTTCCACCACATTCGAGGTAACTTGATTTATGTTCTATATTTTCATTCAGTCTTATCACTCTCATACACTAACATACATGAAGCTCTGCAAGATTCATTGCGACAATCTTTTCCCTGTAATTTTTTTCTTTTTCATAAGTGAATAAGTGAAGCTATTTCTATCTGGCGATGATTTGTTTGACTATTTTTTTGCTGATAGTCTCATATTTTCTAATGATATTTCTCTTGATAGCTTGTGTATCAGCAGCAGCGTCAGCATTGCGAAGAATCTTACAGATAATTCATTTATGATATCTTTCTTGGCAACTGAAAGTAATAATTGAAATGATGATTTGAACAAATGAAATCTTGCAATAGATGAAATTGTCATATTATCGGAGGTTGTGAAGCCACAGCTCTCTTCAACATTTGTATCAACCCATTAAAGAATACGTAACAACGAAGAGTTTATTTTTCAACATAACCTGAATCTCCAGTGAACTGCGATTAAATTCGTTTTTAACTTTAATGAATTTATCCCAGCATGCCAGCTACTCAGGAAGTGTTATGTTAATAACTTCTATCAGTGGAGCTTTTTTTAAAGAAAACTGCATCATTACAAGCATCGATAATCAATAAATCTATCCTATCTGTATCACTGCTGACATCAATTAAATAAGATTAAAAGGTGAAAACTTGAAGACCTCTATTACCATTCGCATTTGTTTTCACCCATCGATTCAAATTTAACTTTTTAAATTTCAATTCTCCTTCACAATAATTTTTTACTGTCCACCATACAAAGCAATAACAAGATTCTTTCACTTCCCAAACTGAGTCTCAGTTCTTTAATTAATCCAAATTTTGTAAACATAAATGCATTTGATTATGAATAATTAATGCAAATTTACAAATCTGTTTTCCGGGGTAATTCCTGCTCGCAAATTACCCTAACTACACTAACATCTTGCGTCAGAAAATGCGTACGCAGCCTTGGGGTGAAACATGCACATCGCGTTCGTTATTTGAATGTGATGTGATTTTATTTTAATGTAATGTGATTTATTCAAATGTGATAACTTGTACATCTTTTACTATCTGAATATAGCAGCCGTTCGACTGATGACGAATATTTTTTACTATGAACCATCATTTAACGGATTACTATAAAAATTCACTCGATTGATAACGTATACGTTATATTCAACGTTACATCGTATACGACCAAATGTACTTTACGATGTTGTTATCACATCTGCGTCTCTGCCCGAGCACGGCGGGCAAGTGGCGCAACGACGCAGGAAATGCGCCGCGTCAAGACGACGCACAAAGACGCGCCGCGTCAAGACGACGCACAAAGACGCGCCGCGTCAAGACGACGCACAAAGACGCGCCGCGTCAAGACGGCGCACAAAGACGCGCCGCGTCAAGACGACGCACAAAGACGCGCCGCGTCAAGACGACGCACAAAGACGCGCCGCGTCAAGACGGCGCACAAAGACGCGCCGCGTCAAGACGGCGCACAAAGACGCGCCGCGTCAAGACGGCGCACAAGGACGCACCAAAGACATGAGTTTATGTGGGGTAGACGGGGGTTGGATGCAGGGTGGATGAGTTTAAAGGAGTTACGTAAGATTTTGTGGGTGTATGAAATCATTAGTAAACGAATGAGTTTCTATGAAATATACATGAGTTATTGAGGGATAGATGCGTCAGTGGCTTCATATTTGAGTAATGCACTCTTCCACCTATTGGTCCCATTGGTCCTATTGGCCCTATATCCCCTGATCCCAGTATACCTGCTCTACGAAGTTGACGTACGAATCCTTCACCCTTCGACGTTCAGTTCTTGATATAGAATAGAATAGAATAGAAGTGTCGGCACTGAAGAAATAGGCCCATGGCCTGTTGCCGATTCTTGAACTTTTCGTGACTTGATTCACAAGGGATCCGGCCTTTGGAACCCGATCTTTCCATAACCGACGATGCTATGAATAAAAAGTTCTTATTAAAGTGTAACCAAGAGCTGAGAAGTTCTCATTGACTTATGAATAATAATAAAGGAACGTTTATTATTTGACGTCGGCACACAGGTTACATTTTCCGTGCAGGTTAAAAATTAAGCTACATATAACCACGCAGGTTACTTGTGACGTCATCATCTCTATTCTGTATACAAACACAAACCAAAATTACACAACCCTATTTAATCCTTGTATCCTGCAGGAGACTGAAACGTACACTTTTATACATTTCCTGAGTACGTACACCCGAGTGTATATGTATACTTTATCTTACGTCGACTACAGAGAATTTTTTCCTGTCATCGAGAGCCAAATGTCACCGGCGCCGCCATCAGCAGCTCCATGTATTGACATGAAAGTTTCCTCTCTGGCCGTAAAATTAAGAAATATCCGCGCTTAAGAATTAATATTCAGAAAAAATATATTTAGTATATACTTTCTGTAATGTGAATATTAATTCTGTTCCATAAATAGTGTAATATCAGAAGAAGACACGATAGTCTAAATGAGGATTGGCAGGCTGTGCTGTCATGCATAGTCTTCTTATTAAATACTCAAG